ATGCCACAAAAAAAATTTCACTTGAAGTTTGCATTACGTGCATCTCATAGCCAAAATACTGAGAGACTCATTATTTATAGGCCACCCGTTAAAATCCCTAACCTGTGCAACTCTAGACATTTTCATGACAATGAAACCGAACACGGGACTTCCAATCACACTTATAATTCACTTGAAGTTTGCGTTACATGCATCTTATCGTTTTTGTCTTTTATTTTAGAAATATAGGTTTAAGGATGCGTTATTTGATTCTCTAGAAAACGCATATTGAGCATTTCTTTATATAAACTTACTTTAAAAATCAAAAGATATGGAGGAAGTGCTGCTAAGCTAAGCAATCTCTATTACTTTCCAACGGAAAAAACAGTGTTTTCAATGTTACTCCCGTTTATCTTGGGGTATAAAAGATGAAACTGCATCTGTTTTGTACTTAGGAAATCTGCTATAGCTCAGTCAAAATGAAGGATTCTGACGTCGGGTTTGTTTTTATCTTAGAGTAGAATAGTTCTTCTATTGCTTCTGAACCCAAAACGTTCAATAGTGTCATTTCCTTTCTTCTGCGAAAGCGAAAAGGTCAAATTTCCCCTCCTTCATATAAATTTTAATAAAATCACTGTTTATGTAAGAAAATAATAAATAATAAGAAAATAAACTAATTTCTAAAATAAAAGACGAAAACGTTATTGTCAAAATACTGAGAGGCGGATTATTTCTGAACCAACCGTTAATTCTGAGAGCAACATCTGTTGGAACCAAACCACAAATTACTAGTGAGACTGTCAAAAAAATAGCTTCTGAAGTATTGTTAGTACGGCAAACATCTATGACAAGTCTTATCATCATCATTATTATTATTCTGCTTTCATGTCATCACCTGTGTTAGTTCACTCTCCGTCGGACAACTTATTTCATATCAATTTACATCACGAAGAACTATTCGGTTTTAAACCCTCCCAATATTCGAATCCTATTCACGGCTCTTGATCCCATTATTAAAACTATTCAAAGTATTAAGGTACACGTAATTTAAAGGATGAGCACTATTTTTTTTCCGACGAATCATACACGATTAGGTAGAACTCGTCGAGCTGAGTCGGAATATATATGTATGTTTTGACCTTTGGAACTGGATCTGGAAGAAGAAAAGTTTGAAAACTTTACTTTACCTCAAAAACCGACAATATTACAACAAATATTACAACACATTTGTATATAGTTGATAAATAATTTTTGAACGACTCTGTACGCAATGTACAAACGGTATGACTTTTAATGAATGATGAAAAATATTATCATTAGTAACAATTGTAGAAATTACTAACCAATTTCTGCGAGACATTTCAACATTAAAAATATATGTGGTCACAAAGAATTTATAGACTGTCAAATGATGCGATATGTTTTGTTGATGGCTGTATTATGTAACATGCACATGTTTAGTTACACTTGGACCAACTTCCGGGATCTAAACCATGTTTTCTGATCATATAGACCAAACAACATATATATCACATGCTTTTTATCATGATCTTTTCCATGCTTTTGGCATAAAAAGATTTATTTTTTTCCGGTATCTCTTTCTTTCGAGTTATTCAGTTCACATTTGTATAAGCGCCAAACCCAGGTGATTTTTCTGCAACATAAATCTGGAAAAATCTTTGCAGTAACTTTGCAGATTCTGCAAAGAGATTCTGCAGATTTGAAGCAGATGTGCCAAGATTTGACCAAAGATCTGATGCAGATCTGCAAAAAAATCTTTACAGTTTCTTTGCAGTTCCTTTGCAGGTTTTTTGCAGAGAAACTGCAGATTTTTACAGCTTTTTTTTGTTTGTATATTTGTGTCAAAACATTTGAAATATATGAAATAAATGTATATCCCACAGTCCCACAGCCCGCTGAAAAATCTCCAAAGAATCTGCAGAGAAACTGCAAAGAAACTGTAAAGATTTTATTGCAGATCTGCATCAGATCTTTGGCCAAATCTTGGCACATCTGCATTGCAGAAAAACTGCAGATTGCAGAATCTTTACAGATTCTGCAAAGATTTTTGCAGACCGAGTTTTTTTGAGAAGAACGGATAACTATCTTCTATGTTGTATCTTTTTCTACTACTGATATTTTATTTCTCTTCGTTTTGTCATGTAAAATGTGTTTTTTCTCACATGTCAAAACAACGAGACGGTAAATAGTGCACACGTCCTCTTGTAAGCTGTGTTCTTTGCATTCTTTTCTCAATTTGGTATAGAAATAACTACATGAAGTACAATGAAATTGAAATTTAGAAAAACCGAAAGATCAAAGTACTGAGTGCAGCGAGAGCTCCAGTATCCTATCCTTTCAGCGTCAAATCGAACTTGCCGAAGTTTGCCTATGAAAGATGATATATGAATGAATTTGACTTTTGAGTACAGCATACGTGTAAGACGTTGTCAAAAAATTAAAAATCATCAAACTGTAAAGTCCACTTTTCTGCATGGGACGCTGTGTTTTGTTCTATTTATTCATGCTTATTAAACGAAAAAACATGGATCAAATAAAATCGTGGATCAGTACTAATATTACAAAAGAACGAAAGTGATGATCATGAAGTATCTTATATAATATTGAAGCGCAGAGTCTAGGCTTTTTTTCATCTACTTAAAAGTTTCCCAGATCGTTTTTGCTATCAGAAAAATCTTTTGAAAAACTATAATAAATCAATGTCTATGCGTTACCGAAAATCGAGTTTAGTTTATTACTTGACTAAACTAAAGCAATTTATTTTAAAATCTCATTGATCTTCCGCTTACTTTCGATGGGTTATCTAATGCACATATTGGTTTTTCGCCCACGCACCGACACGACCTTTTGGGCGCCTCATATTAACACATACATAGACCTACTGAAAGTTGTTTGTTTCAGCTATAACTTGAAGTCCGAGATACATTTTCAGAGTTTTTGTTGCTGACTACTTAATCTGGAATAAAACGCAGAAGTAAAAAACACAAAGTTTTTGTGGGAATTTCAGAACAACAGCGTTTTTTCATTCCAGATTATTTCAGGGTAAAATAAATTTATCTTGTATTCAGCGATTTGTAAAAACATTTGCTTCAGATGAAGTTCACTGCGGCTCAAAAACAGAAGCGTTATCGAGAAAACTGGAAGAAAAACGGTCTTCACAATGCTGTTTTTGACACAATAAGACTTAATCCTGTCCATTTCAAAATATAATGCAGTCGGATATTTTTTGAATAACTCAGTAGCCGAATGAGCTAGAGGACTGCGGTTTTGGGATTATGAAAAAGAACACATGAGGGCGTAATCCTATGCTAAAATGCGTCTTATCCAACAGCTCTACCATGGTTTACCTTTCGGAGCAAAACGTCCGACCGAGCCTGTCAATCCAAAAATTCCCATAGCGAGATATTACTCTGAACACATGCGGGTATAGAGCAGATGTTGTTCTACAATCACACCTCCATCTATCATGATTCGGATGCTAGAGGCAATCTCCGAGAACCTACCTATCGGCCAAACCTGACTTCTAGGAATCTCACAAATAATTGGTACATAGACTATCGGACACGCTGACTGTGGCAGTGTTTGTTTTATTATTCAGGCTAAGGAAATTGTAAAAGACGAATTTTTCAGAAGATACGATTTTTCTCCTGTGATATACTATATCGTTTTGTCTTCAATACAATCTTGCATAAGTATTAGTGAAAACAGTGGTGGCTGCTTGAAATATAAATGAACATCATTATGTTGATATTCTGAAGTGATATTTTCAAATACGAAATAATATTTTAAATTTAGGAATTTTTTTTAAAAATTCGTGTTTGTGCGTTACCGAAATGTCTGTGCGCTACGTGATGGTTGTGAATAATTCAATCGTCTTTCAAGGTATCGATGGTTTCTTCTCAACAAAAGACAGCCCTGATTTTCAGCTAGAAAAAACTTCTCTCGTACAATTCATGAACATGGAGTAGTTCGCAGATTTATTACATCTATTAAGGGAAGAGGGTCTTTTTTGTCTGAGCGTTACCGACAGTATTTTACTTTAAAAATTCAAACAGGTAGACGGTTGAGGCTGAAAAATTTAAGCATTATAGAGTTTATTAACCTACATATTTGTTAAAAATTTGACGTCTCTCTCTCTTATCGTTCTCGAGATACATTCGTTCGAACGTTAAAAAATATCTGTGCGTTACCTGCGTTTTTCATGTATAGCTTTTTCTGAAATATCTTAAACGCGATCATAACTGAAAATGATTCTCCATAGTTTCTAGTTAACTCGCCTGTGTGAGGTAATAGATCCACCCGTTTTTATTTCTTTGCTGATAAAATTATAGTGATATTTCAAAACAAACTTTGTTTGAAACTCCAAAATCAGACTGAGGTAATCTATATATCCTTGCTGAAGATGATTGTTCTTGTCTTTCGTCATTTTTTCGTTTTGTTGCTGTTTCTTTTGTAGAAAAAAAGAGTGAAAAGAAAAAGAGAAGTATTCTTGCTTTAACCTGTTATTGCTACATATGCTGATGATGCATGTGTTATTCTGCTTTCTGTATTCAACTCTTTGCTTTCTCTTGTCGACGTTTAGTGTATTTACTCCGTGACTCTATCCCTTTTCTTTATATAATTCAACTGTGGTAGGTGATTCATGGGGTCATATGAACATGTGATTCTTTTTGTAAAACTAATTATATCATTTTCGAATCAAAAAGAGTCAGAATTTAAGTTGTTAGGATGGCAAAAATCTCGCAAGGTGCACTTATACGCGGTGTTAGGCGAACATCGAAAGAACTTTTCTCAGCGCTTCCAAAAAATTTTCATTTCAAAACGCTTCTTTAACAAAAAACACTAACTGATTACTTCTCCTAGCTTCTTTCCCTTGTCGCTGGTTTTTGGCACCTCTTATGAAAAAATTGGATCGATTAAACTCCTAAGCTCTTTTCACAACATTTTATTACATAAATTTTACTCCTTTTTTCTATACGTCTACTTTTCTAGATTACAATATGGAAACAATCAAAGACACTGTGAACACCCTTATCGGTCGAAAGCCCTCTGGTCCAAAAATTCGTTATGCCGTTGTTGCTGGCGGAAACATCAGTCAGGGTGCATTTATGCCCGGCGTTGGTCAAACATCGAATTCGGTGATGACTGTCTTAGTTACAGATGATCCAGAAAAATATGATAAATTAGCCAAACAATACAAATTGAAAAGTTATAAATATGCTGATTATAATAAAATGTTAGATGGCGATGAATGTGATGCTCTCTATATTGCGACGCCAAATTCAATGCATCGAGAATTTACTGTACCCGCATTGGAAAAAGGTAAGAAAAGACATTTTATTTTACTTGTGATATTTCTTGAAGAAAAAGAATTAATTTTTGCGCATAGTAGCACATATTTGACTTTCTGGGCAGAAAGCGTTTTCATTAACTTAACCCACTAAAGGCACCAGCCTTTTCGGACTTAGTGTTATGGAAGATCTGTGAAGTTCAAGTTCTTTTGTTCAGCGATCCTGAGCGAAACCCAGTCAGTCACCTATATCTATTGAAAATTTGTTTTAGCGTAGTTTTCCCATTTATAGAGCGCGAGAATATACAGTTTCACTATGAATACGACGAATTTCTTGAGCTTTAAGTATTCGCCTATATCAAAACTGCGTTTTCCCCATCAATTATTCGCGAGAAACGCGTTTATTACCATTATAACTTTCTAAAAACGCTTTTTACGTCGCAACAGACTTTAAGAACCATGAACACCACCGAAATTTTCTCGTTTCTGACTAAATTGAAACGAATTTAACGCGTTTTGGCTAGAAGTGAAATTTGAAAAACGTCTTTCACTTTTTCAAAAGTTATAAGATAGTTTCTTTGAAGCATAAAACTCGTTTCGTAGACTGAAGTCGCGAAATTAGACATTTCTATATCAAATAAGTGAGTGAAAAACGCGTTTTTAATTCAATGCAATACGAGAAACGCGAGATTGGCTCAAGTACCGCGAAAAAAGGCGAGTTTAGCGTCAAAGTATCGCGCAAAACTCTGTTTACGAAAAATTTCGTGCGTTTAACACAATCTATGATTACCTTAAACACGATTCTGGCGCTTTTTTTTAAACGAATTTCTCGCGATAAATTTTTCGTAAACAGAGTTTCGAGCGATATTTTGAAGCTAAACTCGCGTTAAAACGAATTTTCAGGAAATATAGGTGACTGACTGAGAATTAACGGTTGACCCAAAAAGAATTATAGTATTGGTATTTTCAATTTTTCTCCTCTTCTTTATAATTAGTCGAGCAAACTTTTTTACCAAAATATAGCACGTTCAATTTTCTACAAAATATGTATTGACTGTTTTATTGCAAAATCGGAAGGTGGGAAATGAGACGAGAAAGCGTATGAAGTACGAAAATTCAGAAAAAATGATGTATTTTTTCATAGATTCCATTTTTTCGAATGGTTTCACAAGCATCGGAGCACGGTTTGCGTACATTTTGTGTAGTTTCAAGTGTGCTCTCTCTCACGGCATGCAAAAAAATTTATTTTGAGTGAAAATATCCGACGCAAAGACTGGCTTGTCGGAAACCGGACGAAAACAGCAAATGATTTCGACCTTATCTACGCTTAATAACAAAAGAAGTTTTTGTTGTAAATCTTACCGATTCTACAGTATATAATCATCGGTCCTCAAAATGAAAAAAGTTCAGTCTGAAAGGCTCAAGTTGGACTAAATTACTTGTTTTATTGAATCGTGCAAATTCCTGGTCAAAAATCATGATTTTTAGAAAATTTTCAAGAAAAAATCGATACGCTTACACTCTCAGTTTTAACTATAAAAATTTTTAATCATAGATGAAAGATAGAATTTTTGAAGGCCTACACGACAGCTACTTCAGCTTCTTTCTTCCACAAACGTTTAGCGAATAAAACTTAACACACGGTTATTTAACTTATTTTTTCTGAATTTTTGTACTTCATATGATTTCTCATCTCATTTTTTACCTTCGGATTTTGCAACAAAAACAGAAAATTGAACGTGCTATATTTTGGTAAAAAAGTTTGCTCGATTAATTATAAGAAACAGGAAAATAAATTGAAAATACTAACATTATAATTCTTTTTGGGCCACCCGTTAATATAGCTTCACAAATCCAAGGTCAGAAAAACTCATATGAGTTTTATTTTGAAAGAAAAGTTCGTTCAACCAAACTCTTGCTTTAGAAAATCCTTTGCTCCCCAGCGGGCTTTTATAATATTTTATGACTCCAAAGACAAAACTTGAAAATTTTTTATTCTTGAAGGGAAAGTTTTGAAGAGTCGAAACAAGCTACACTTTGAAGACGACATTCTGCTCTGCTTTCCAGCTTGTTTAGTTTACAGTGTGCAACAAAATTGGTCATACACTCCTCATATAAGCTTATGGAATTTCGCTAAAACGTTGCAAATTTATTGTAATTTATTTGCCTAAAACAGAAAGTACTTATGTCATATAGTCATTATGTTGGGCCAGGAAGAGTGAAATGATCAACTTTCTTTGTCTAACAAAACTGATCGCACATTTTTTAATTTTTTACATAACAGCCTTTAGGTTTAAGGGGGAGTGTTAATTAATAAGAGGAAGGCGAACTTCTCCTGTTTTTTTGCATCGCTTTGTTGCCTCTGTCGACTCACATATATGGTGACACGTTTGAACCTCTCAGGCACTTTCTTCCAATTTTCTTTTAACTTTTAAAAGTTTACAGAAATTTAAGAGGTTTTACTAAAAGGTTCATTGGTCATTAAAGACGCGTGTTTTAACGATAAGACTGTCTCTGATCGATCAATGAGATCGAAGTACCTATATACTGAAATTATCGCGAACTTTAAATGAAGTTCGGTTAACAAAAAATTTATTTTTTCTTGAAATGTCGATTTTTCAGAAAACTAGTATATTCTAAGCGTCTTGCCATAAATTCTGGCTTAACGGAGAAAAGGTTTTGTTGGCAAAACTCTTCCGTAAGTGACAAATGGGATTCTGAGTGTAATACTTTATTCCAGTGTAACGCATAAATGTTGAGAAAAATCAAATTTAAGAATTTCAAATTATTAAAACACTTAAAACGCAATTTTTCTCAACATTTTTCCATTACACTGGAAAAAGTATTACACTCAGAATCCCATTTGTCACTTAAGGAAGAGTTTTGTCAGCAAAAATGTGTCTCTATCGACATTCGTTGAGCCACACTTTGTGGCAAGATTCTTAAAAAATACTACCGTTCGTCCCAAGATACAAGACCGGTGGTTGTTTTCTGAGTAACTCAAAGACGATAGAAGGGAGAGATTTGCGGTTTTGGGCAGTCGAAAGAGGACAGTTTAACCTATATTTTCATAAGCAAAAACGTTTTTATACAAATTTCTGACATCGGTCTTTTAGAGAGTCTCAGAAAAACCAGTTTCTATGTCAAAATTTTACATACCAAGCAATGGATTTTTTTTGATAGATAGGTAGTCCAAAGTGTCTTCTCTAAATAAGATCTAAACAAAGGTTTCACTTTGCTTGGTTCAGGAGCTTTGGACGTTTTTTCCCGAAGTCCTGAGACTGCTCTAGTCTGCGTTCTAGGTCCTTCTGAAATCATGAAAACATAGGTTATCGAACACGCTAAATTTCGTGGCAATGTTAATTTTCAGAAGAAAGTGCAAGAACGGAGTGAAAACCTGTACTATTAATAGGTGAAATACCCCATTTTGCGCTGTTTTATCATAACTCAGTCAAAATCCTATTCTTTTGAAAAGCAAATATACAGTTTTGTAGCGCTTGAATTCGAATGATGTATCGTGTGAGTATTTCCAAAGGACTGTTGATTTGCAAATAAAAATGTAAACCGCTGAACTGTCCATAATCGGCGTTAATTAGTATTAATTAATGACTAATCTATATCCCAACACAGCTTTTTCTGAAATATATTAAATGCTATCAGAACTAAAAGTGATTCTCGATCAAAGTACACTAGAGCCACCTTTGTATAATTAGCTTTGATTAAGGGCTCCCCTCTTTTTTTACCCTGTCGGAAACTAGGGAAGCCGATGTCGAAAAAATGGTCCAATCGAGCTCAGAATTTTACCACAGATACTTCAGACTCTATCTGAGGTTCGTTTTTTTCTTTTCAAAAAGAATGCTTTCCTTCTCGAGATACGAAAAATACTGAAAATCCTATATGAAAAACCGGTTTTTCATTTTGAAAACCTTTTCATGCCGAAAGTTTAGTCTGGCTCTTTTTTTTAAAGTTCTACGGAAAGTTCTATGGATTTTATGAAAACAAATGTCCCAATGATTTCAGTACATTTTCCCTTGAAAAGCTCACTTTCGATTTTTTGGCCAAATCTCTGCCACAGCGTCCCTACTTCCCGGGGAAAAGAGAAAAGAGAAGCTTCTCTTTACTTATAAATGTGATGTTTGTGATACCAGTAAACTTGGCTGTGGTCTATTTCTAGGATATCATGTTCTTTTGGAAAAGCCAATTGAAGTAACAGAAGAAGCAAGTCAAGCCATTCTCGATGCCCAAAGAAAATCTGGTGCCAAACTGATGATTGCCTATCGGTTGCATTGCGAACCGGGCACGCTGAATGTTATTGAACGTGTTAGAAAAGGTGATTTTGGAGATCCGCGAACTTTTGTTTCGATGCATACACAGATGTTGAAAGAAGAGAATCATCGAGCAAAATTTGGTAAGAAAGCAAACTAATCTTTTTTTAATGCCAAATCGTATTTCTTCTGCTGTTTTGTAGGATTCGATTCGGGACCAGTTCCAGATATGGGAATTTATTGCATCAAGTAAGCAGAATCATTCGTACAAAATGAGTTTTTCAATTCTCAACATTTTCACTATCTTTCTATAAATAAATTGAGGAGTTTCGCAAGACTTAGAGATGCGAAAGTTAACCCTTCCGAGCTCCTGTACGATCTCGAGTACCGAACTTAGATTAAAAATACAATGGCGTAGGGTTTGTAAAACAAATGCTCATAAAATAGCTTGAAGGTTTTGATCTGCTATTGAATATAGTTTTGCGTTTTTCTATCAATCCGAATGGCTTGATTCGTCTTGCCCCTTAGGCTTACTAGGCCCTTTTACAGGTTCGTTCAGTTTCGCCTGATATTGGACTGTTTCTTTTCTTTCCTGGGCATCCTCAGCGATTGATCACAACTGAGTTGTGAGCTAGAAGTTAACAAACCCTTTTTTATCTTTCTTTTTCTTTTGTAGTGCTGTTCGAAACCTTTATGGTCAGGAACCAATCGAAGTTTCAGCTGTTGGATTTAAAACACCCGGACGAGAAGACATGATGTTACACTTCGATACCGTCAGTGTTACATTGCGATTTCCACAAGAAAGAGTTGGTCAATTTACTTGTGGTTATTCACAAGCAAGTAGCAGTTGGTACAGATTGGTTGGAACAAAAGGTATGATATGGGTTATGGAGGGGCAATCTAGAAGATTTACAAAGCAGAATACAGAAATCTGCTTCGCTTTCCTTTCTCAAAACAAGACGTAAAGGCAGGTGCGCTTTATGGTGATCCCAGGGTGAACTTCGTCATTCTTTTTTATTTACAAAAATTTAAGATTATTATTTGGTAGTAAAAAAGATAAAAGCAGGGAGAGCACTCCGCCTGTCAGCCAGAATGTCCAAAACCCTTTCCCATTCGAAAGGTCTGTGCGTTAATCGCAGTAAATTACCCATAAAGTTTATCGTGGTTTCGGTATCCCAAAGCTATAGGTTAATTGCCGCTTTCTCTTTCAGTTAGAAGGAGACAAACTACACAAATACATTCAGCTTTAGCTTAGGTTTAGAGTGCAGTTAGATAGCGTAAGGATTTTCTTCCTTTCAGTTCTATGCTACGAGAGTAGTTCTTACTTTCTGGCAAGGAATGTCATCACAAGGGATCCTGCAGGAGGGCACCCTTAAGGTTTTTCTGCGACCAATCTGTAATTCGGAGGAACAAATGATCAATAGGCGTTAAGGCCCTTGATTGCCTGAACACTTACATCTACTCAAGGTGGTACTCTTTTGTCTTCTTGTCTATTTAACAGGTGAGATTGAAGTTGATCCGGGCTTTAGCTATGGTAAGGGGATTGCCTACAAAACTACAATCGACAAAAAGGAAGATTCGAAATCATTCCCAACAACAGACCAATTCGGTGGTGAAACAGAATATTTTTCAGATTGTATTTTGAAAAATGTTGATCCGGAACCAAATGGTGAAGAAGGTTTCTTAGATGTTCGAGTAGTTTGCGCAATTAAACGTGCATTGGAAACAGGTGCAACACAAAAATTGGAACCAAAAGAACGCCTGAGACGACCGGTGACAGCTGAGCAAACGAAGAAATTAAGCATGGCAAGCCCACCAAAAGAATTTATTGGACGAGATTCTGATAATCCAGGAAAATAAACTGAATTTGACTTTTTTATCTTATGTATTCTGGCCGATTTCGGTATTTAATTAATCTTAGTAGAATGACAAAATAAACGGCTGCTAGCTAATTGCTGCTTTTAGAGAAAATGGTGTATTTTTTTTTTGACAGTGCAATCTTTTACTCGTGTTCAAGATGTGTCTTTAAGCGTTTTTGGCACAGTCGGCTTTTTTCGGATGACAAAACCAATTGCGCGAATTCCACAATCATTATACTTTTCATAGAAGCTTTCGGCAAGATTTAGAAATCAACTGTAGCATAAGAGACATCCATAGTAAGACAGTACGCAATATAACTGAGATCTTAGCATATTGTTAGTTATGTAGCATCTGGACACGTGCACACGTCTCAAGGCACCACTTCGTACTACCTCTACAACCACAGCTCCGTTGTATTATCTGTGCTTAGGAAACCTCCTTCTGTTTACAAAATGCTTCTTTATGTCAAGAAATATAGAAATTATCTGTCTTATACTTAAGGAGCCGGTAACCATTCCTGTTTTTTTTCATAGCTTTGTAAAGCGCATCAAACTGTATATATCCTGAAGTGCTTTCGATGAACCTACTTGTAATTGCTGAGAAAATAAATTCTTACGAATTTCATACGATTTTGGTCTAAAATTTATAAAACATTCAAAATTGAAGCTGGAACTGTTATTGTTATACAGGTTGACAGCGCACATTAAGTGACATATACCCACAAGTTATTATGACAATTGAACCCACTGTGTTTAAAAATATTAACATTTTTCATTCCATGATAATTTGTGCCCTCAAACTAATTTTTTGAAACTTATGCACGCATTTCAAAAACAACGAAGCATTTTCAGAATAGATTTCCGCTGCGAAAGTTGTTTAGGATAATCCTCTTCATATCCTAAGCGGAGCGCTATTTTCATTTTAGTGGGTAAAGTTTGAAATAAATTTGAAATAATAAAAAACGTTGAACTTTAAATTTACTTAAGATTTACGTAATTTGCATTTATTTCAAAAATTTCCCACTAAAATGAAAAAAGCGCTCCGCTAAGGGTATGAAGAGGATTATCCTGAATAACCTTGTCAGCGAAAATTTTTCTTCAAAATGCTTTGTTGTTTTGGAAATGCTTGCATAAGTTCGAATAAATATCGATCCTGATGCTTCGAGGAAATCCCATGCCGCGCCGAAAAGAAAAATTAAGAGCTCACTTATTACCCGTTTTGTAGAGGACATTTTAGGCTATCATACCCATATGAGAAATACAGGAGCCACTCTGATGGATCTTGGAACCACGACCTACTCTTCCGAAGACTAATAAGAGCAGGGGTGATGTTTTCTGAGATATTTTTATGTCAGCTTGCAGCTAACTATCTCCTCTATGAAATGCTAAAAATCGCAAGTCTTCGAAGCGCATTGTTCAAAAGTTATTAAAGAAATAGCCAACGGCATTCTTTTTTAATAATATATGGGCTGTTAGTTCATATAAAAGCCCATATATGGAAAAATCTTGAAAACCTCCCTTATCCATGACAAATTAAAAAACAAAATACAACATTTTGTAGCGCTTGAGCAGCAGATTCATTTGATATAGTATTCGTTATATTTGAGTGAAAGGGGTTGAAGAAAAAAAGAATACAAACGACTAGACTACAGTGAACAGGCATCAATTTTAGAGAAAAAATTTATAAAAGGTCTGTTAGATAGAAATTTTCCTTCTTTTTTTACATATATAATAACTATGAATAATTGTAAATATAAACATACTTGAATCAAAGTTTTGTCATTAGTTTTGGATGACTTCTGATATATCGAAAATCGGCCTCTAGACCGAAAATTTTGATCAAAGCCGAACGTTAAAAGATCCATAATTTCGCCAATATTCATAGGACCGCCGAAATTTCTTGAAGATACATAGTACTCAACGCACTTTACAAACTGGCATAATTTGAAGACAGGTTTGGGGGCGATTTTGATTCCACGTAGTTTTCATTAAAACTTGGATCAGTTCTAACCTCCACTAGATTTTAGTCTGAACTCCGACATACGTGTTTGTGTGTTAATATGCGAAGTTTGAAGCAAACATAAGCATAATTTAAGTTAATAAATTGAAAGCTTCTACGGAAAACAAAATGATTGTGGAATTAGTACAATCGGTTTTATCTGCGTTCAATATTATCACCATGTTCGGATGATAAAAAAAAGGAGAGCATCTCCTTGTGTGTAATGTGCAAATCGAGTTCCGAGGAAGTCTGAAACTTATTGAATTTCCCAAGATGCTTTCTAGTCGTTCGCACATATATATATATAAAATCAAGCTCTTGTGGTTGGGCTTTGTCTAGGTAACTTGGAAGAACATTGTGGTATTTCTTGAACGCGCCGTAAATTATCATTGTTTATCATACATATGCGGATATCCAGAATCGGCTAGTATAACATGATCTTTCGTTCAGAATTCAATATGAGTGAAAAGTCCTTTTTTCTATACTACTTCAGAGTTGTTTGTGGCTATACATAATAAAGACACGATTAGATTTTTTGTTTCAAGGACTCGTCTGCTTACCTAATATAATAACACAGAGAGAAGAATAGAATAGAAAGAACTGTGTTATTTTGTTTAGCGACTTCTTTAATGGTCACAGAACTGATAACATTCGATGATGTCGCACTTAATTTAACATCGTCGTGTATAAGCCTAAAACTGATTTGACAGCAATATAGTAGTTACTATATAAATAATCCAGCAATTGTAAGTATTAGTAAATAAGGAAAAACATTTGAAGTATAATCATTATTCATTTGATTTCACGTTAAGTATCATAGAATTAAAATTAAGAGTTGAAACGTCATATTATCAGAATATGATGACATTTTCCTTGAAGGATTATTTCGGCCCAAGAACACTTACTGCATAACTATTTTTTTTTTTATAGAACTTTACTTTATGAATTATAGACAACGGAGCTTTATCCCTCGCAGAATATAACCACAAATCTTGGATGAAACTAAAAATTAAAAAATTAAACGTCTCTGCCTTTATGCTGTTGACATGTGTGTTTTAAAGAAATCTAATAATTGTTGTACTTTGTTCTGCTCAACTAGAGATGCACCGATTAATAATCGATGTTGGGGCATTCAGGAAAATCGTTCCGACTTGGTTATAGTAAATCTCTCAGAACTGCGGAATATTTCATTTTGTAGGGAATGGTTGACTCTACAGACGTAAAGTGTTAAAAAAGTTTAATGTTATTTGTGACAGAAACTGAAATATTCAAAAATGTGCAAAAAGGAAATCGAAGATCAATTATTTTGTTGCGACTTTTGTGCGTTTTTGATTAATCATATTTTTACTATATATAACATTAAACACTTTTTAACACTTTACCTCTGTAGAGTCAACCATTCTCTACAAAATGAGATATTCCGTAGTTCTGAGAGACTTACTATAACCAAGTCGGAACGGTTTTCCTGAATGCGCCAACACATCAATTATTAATCGGTGCATCCCTATGCTCAACAAAGGAAGTATTTATGATTTTTCTATCGTTGCAAAAGTCTTTTAATTAACAACAGTTCTTTTCTTCTGAGTAAGAACTTATTTTATCGATGAATATTGCAGAAGACTATATGAAAAACCAACGCTGTGTGGCCAGCTAACTCTGCTACCGTAACAGAATTCCATAACGGTTTTGCACCATTTTGTTTTGTCTATAATTCCTAAACTGACTGATGCACAGTGTCGCAGGATATCTTAAGCTGAAGAGAAAAGTCTGGTTAAAATTTTAAGATATTTTCAAGCCTTACACACATGTATCGTTAAGAAGCTGTAACCTAAACATTGGACACTAGTTTTCAATTTTTTCGAATTTAATTTTTGCAAAACTGGTGTTCGATGTTTAGGTTACAGCTTCTTAACGATACATGTGTGTAAGGCTTGAAAATATCTTAAAATGTTAATCAGACTTTTCTCTTCAACTTAAGATGCCCGTAATGCTGTACGTTAGTGAGTTTAGAAATTGTAGGGAAAACAAAATGATGCAAAACCGTTACGGAATTCTTTTACGGTAGCAAAATTAGCTGGTCAAACGACATTCTACCACTAGTAAAAATGAAATTTATGAAAAGACAACTACATCCGATTGTGGCTGATCTTGGCTAAAAAGATTTTCGTAATTAATACATGCAATTATTGAATGTATTATTTCTAAATAAAGTTGTCAAAAATTAGGTCAATAAATTGGGAAGACTTTACTTTCTCAAGATAATATACCAATAAGAATTAGTACAACAAAATTTGACAGTAACACAACTCCGTTACTGAAAAGCAGAGATATCATAAGACGGTTACAGACTGAGTATAGAGGTTCTTGAGTAAGAAGAAAATGGATAAGATTTATCCGTCTGGAAAAAATATCTGCACTCGAGTTTTTAAATATATCACCACTATAAAAATACATTTTAAAATATTCTGAAAGCGCTCGGAGTTTTCTATCACCCTGTATATTTATGTCTTGTCTTGCATTTATTTAGAAAATAAAAATAATTTTAGTACAGCGAAGGTGCCCCCAATTGACAAGTACCAAAAAGCTGCACTTTTTTGCTACTTTCTTCGCTTTTTCCACACCATCTGTACTAAAAGATTTTTGTACAGATCACGAGAAAGAGCGCATTCAGAAGTACAAAAAGAACTGAGTTTTCACTTTTGCAATCCTTTTTTATGGAAATAATAACGAAAGAAAAAAGTTCAAGTGGAAAAAAATAACAGATTTTCAAAGTTTTCATTTTTTTCGTCTTCCGTATAACCTGCGTAGTTTATAATGTGTAGTCTCCTAAATCCGATAGAGAAGTTTTTGAACGCTTTTGATAACTATTTATAATTAATATCTTATTACTATCTATTTCAAAATATAAGGACCACGGATGTTTTTTCAACAACTTTTGAAGGAAATGATCTACAGATCCTGACTTTACAGATTTTGGAAGAGAACACCAGAGGCCATAATTC